CTGTATTTTTATAGTAAAGTAAGCTAGAGAAAAGAAAATGTTATTAAGAAAACCATAGGAAGAGACAATACACTTACAGTGCTGTGCAGTACTCAGCAATACTGTTAAGCTTATGGCGTCCGCTTACAGAATGAACCAGCTGTCACCACCTGCATCAGTACTGTCTTGCATGGTACAGAACACTAGATGTTACGCTTATAACTAACACTGGGCGTCAACAATGAAAAGATGCTATGAAAAAGAAATTGGTATTTATTTAGAGAGATAACAGTTCATGCCCTGATACTGAAGAAGCCAGTATGATTGCTTTACGGCAGCCTGGTAGTCAGTTGTTTCCCGGTAGCCTAGCCTGTACACTGAGGAAGGAATGATCACGAAATTGTTACGGCATATAACATTATAGTCAAACTCGTAGTGTAGTATTGGAAACATTGTTACATTTTTTACACTTGTCTGTTTTGATTGGCTGATAACACAGCTTCCCCAATTATGAAAGGGAGATGAATCCTGTACAGTAATGTAATTCTTTGATAGGAAAGTTATAAAACGGTAAGAAAACTAAAACATTATTTATATTAAATATCACTAACCTTATGTCTGAGTAAGGGCAGACTAGTATCTAGATATATTTTGTGCATTCATGACATACCTGGCTTTTTCTTAGTTTTTTCAGTGTATCTAAACTACATGGTTCGTCTGCAAGTTTTCAAATTGTCACAGATCTCCAAAATGTTTTCCAACATGTTTACTGAAAAAAATCGGCATAATGTGGACCCATGCAAATTCAAACCTGTGTTGTTCAAGGACCACTGCGTGTAGAATCCTGGCTCTCTGGCTAATGCAGCTTTTCTAAAGGAATGGAAGGAAGGACAGCTTGCTTATTTCCTAGTCTTTCCTCAGCCCTTCCTTCTCCTTTCTGTGCAGATACAGAGGGACGAAGCTGACGGGCAGGTGGCAGTTCTGCTCTATGCAGCAGTGACAAGCTAGTGTCGGGGAAGCCCAGCCTCCAGCCTGTGTTGCTGAGCAGTTTCCTTGCAGCAGTTTTGTTTCTTTCAAGATGCCCAAGAGAAGCCACAGCTGGTCAGGCTTTGAACAAAGTGAGATTGAACTGATGGCTTGCTTTTAGTTGGTCAGCTGTCAGTAGAGTGTTCTGGTGAGGAGTCTGATCGTGGAAGCAGTTTCCTCTTCTTCAAGAACAGTGCATGCTGAACTCCACAAGAATTTTGCAGAGTAGAACAGATGTGTCGAGGGCTTTATGCAGTGCCTACCACAGAATAACGATCTCTCCCGAGAAGCCGCTCACTGCACGTGGTTGCTCTGGGCCCTGCCGTGTTAGTAAACGTGGCTTCTCCAGCTGCTCTGGCTTGATCGGTACACAGGTGAGCACTAACCAAAGTGCCCCAGCCCCAAAGTGGGTAGCAATCACTGGTCTTTCTCTCTCTCTCTCTCTCTCTCTCTCTTTTTTTTAACCCTTCTGATGTGTATAGTTTTCCCATCTCTCAGGATAGTCAATAAAAAGAGCTAAAGCTATTTTTTGGTTTGCTTTTATTTGGGGAGGGTGAATAATTTTTTGCAGTCCTAATCATATGCACAAAATATCTTTTCAGAGCACCACATAAGAATGGTAAGAATAATGTGTATACTTAAGTGAACATGATCAAAAGCTGTGTGATCAAATGAGTTAAGTTTTCTGAGTCTGTTGTATGTACTTAATAATTCTAGTTGGGGCTGTTTTGGAATACTCTGTGGAGGTGTAATGGTTTCTTTAAAAACTGACTTAATACCTAAGAAATATTTTCTTTTTTTTTAATGGGCACCTGGATTTGTGAAATGCCTGGTATGGGGAATTACTGCAGTGTTTTCAGCTGATTGAAATGTTATAAAGATGTTTTTTTACTTTACTTTGGAAACATGTGGGATCTGATCCTGTCACCCCCTGGTAGATAGTGTCAGAATCGGGTAGAGTTGTAGGACCACCAGCAGGTGTTGGAGCATTGCTTGATGTGTTGGGGGAAAACCCACACATGGGAATTGGATTCAGAACCCTTGCATAGTGTTGCACTGTGTATGTGTGTGTACAACTCGAAGACCTCTCATCTGCACACTTTCATAACTGGTAGTTGATAAGCTAATCGAAGTCTGACAAGGGGAAGCGTCTGAAACAATCTTTAAGCATTTTGCTGTAACAGTGTGTATTTACCAGCCATGTGGGGGGGGGGGTTGGGCCAGGGCTTTTCCCCCGACAGCGCGGAGTCCCCTGACGGGAGTGCAGCGTTACCTTCCTCGCAGGGACCGTTAGTCTTACCCAGGAAACAGAATATTGGTTCATCATGCGAGTCAGTTAAATGAAGGCTGGTTAAGAGCTGCTTGTGTTTCATAATTTTAGATAAGCATTCCCTTACTGGTGAGTATTTAAATTGTTTCCAGCATTTTGAGTTAAGTATCTATAAATGGGTATTTGATACCTTTATCTAAAAAAAAAAAAAAGAAATTCCTTGAGGTGAAATTCATGTGTATACAGGGATATTCATTTTTTCATTCTAATAAATTTTTCTAAAGGGAATGTTAAATGTTTTATCAAATGATTTTCAATATTTAATTGTAGTAGAGTAGGATAGGTAAAATTTTTCTTTTAAAATTAACCAGTTTGCTGGGATTTCAAAATTTGTAGATACTCACAGGCATATGCAGAATAGATAAAGAAGATTATACTGTGTAGCACGGGGAAATATATACAAAATCTTGTGGTAGCTCACAGCGAAAAAAAATGTGACAATGAATATATGTATGTTCATATATGACTGAAAAATTGTGCTCTACACTGGAATTTGACACAACATTGTAAAATAACTATAACTCAGTAAAAAATGTTAAAAAAAATAAATTAGATTAAATTAACCAATTTGTTCCTTAGTTTTTCCTCTCTACAAATCAGATGAAAGGAATAAAAAGTTCCTGAGTCATATAAAGTACATTAATAGAATTCAAGACACTGAGTCACAGAATTTCAGACAGTCTCACACAGATATGACTCGCTCTCGTGTGTACTGTGTGTGTGGTTTATCCTGTGGAATGTGTGTGTTTCTCAGTTTGAGTGGGTCTGACGATACTTAAACATTGTAGGGAAGTTCGATGTGTTAATGATTAACACTGAAAAACTTTAAGCCAAGGATTCTTTTGTTAAATCGACTGAGGTAGGACTCAGCTTTGAGTAAGCCTGATATTTTAGTAGTTCTGTGTTAGCTTTTTCAGTGACTGTTTGTTCAGTCATGTCTGTGCAAACCATTTGTTTGTTGGGGTTTATATTGGAATAAAAAACATGGTCATGTGGAAATTAATTGGGGTTAGAGAGACAAGAACTCTTAGCTGACTTTAAAAAACATTAATAACCATCACACCAACCTCCCTTTATTTTCGCACGTGTTACTATTATAAGGACAAAAACAGTACCATGAATATATTTAAATTATATGTAGAGCCAGTGATAATTACGTGATACACACATCTTTATAAAACCTTTATATACTACAGCTGAACCTTTTTGTGATTGCCTATGAATATTTTTAACCCCTCTTTTGACTAGCAGATTTTTTCCTAATTTATTCTCATTGGCCTGACTATTCTTTCTTAGCACATTTGGGGTATTGCCCAACTAGAAAATTATTATGATGTGAGATTTTTCTCTTTTTTAATCTTGAAAGCTATAATATTATCATAATACAACACAGTATCTATTTAAATAAAAGTCTTATTTCTCTTATTTGTCTAGAAGTTAGTGCCCCAAGTTGGTGGGGCAGCTCTGCTCTACAGAATCAGTCAGTATCTTTTGCTTAACTGTCTTGTAGGGTATCGGCCTTCCTCTGCATGGTCAGAGCTGGCACAGCTTCACATCTGCCTTCCAGCCGGTGGGACGTGCTAAAATAAAGCTTTAGTCTAGCTATAGGATGGTTATCTTTTAGGTTGAAGGTGACCTGAAAGCTGTGCCTTTACTTCCACGTCCATGCTAAGTAACAGAATTTCAAGGCATGCTAGGAGTCTGTTCTCTCCCTGGGTGGGTAAATAACCAGGTAAAAATTTATTCCTGTGGACAAAGGGGAAAACGGATAATGGAAAACAACTAACAGTCTGGCTCAAAAGCCAGTATCCAAAAAAACTGGATATAAATTTCAAAATAAGTATTTTTAAATGAGTAACTTTCTAAGATGCAGCCAAGTCAGCAACACTGTTGTAACCTTAGATGAGCTATAAACGTGAATTGAATCCCTGAATGCAACATCACTCTGAGATCTTGCTTTTCAAATTGAAGGACATTGTCATTTCAGGGAGGGAAGTACACAAAGCCATGAAGTTAGATGTAGCTTCTCTTCCTGAAGGAAGATTTGGAAGACTAAGTTTTTTGGTGGGTTTTTTTTTTTTGATACTGACAAAGATAGGAATATATTTTAGTGCCAAAAATGGAATTGGCAGGAACTTTAGGAAAAACCTTAAATTTGTTTTAAGGGATGATTCCAAATCCCCGGAGATATTTTCTATTTTTGCCACTATGGGTACTTCTGTGGAAATATTTTGATGAGCAAACTTTCTGGTTGGTTAAGGTTTATTTTGTTTAGTTAGATCAACAATTCTAAACTATGTAAAATTGTGGGAATACATTGAGGGGGTAGTGGGCAAGTCCTATGAAGTGAAGGAAGTTTGCCTTTATATATCAGCAGCATAGGCGTCTATTTAGAGGAAGTCTAAGAAGCTGTTTCTTTGTCATCATAGATTTTTCTTTTATTCTTTGCTGCATTTTATACCATTCTTTTAAGGCCAAAAAAGACATTTTTTTTTTAGGCTTTTCTTCTTATAACAAGGAAATACTCTGTTAGTGGGACTTGCAGACTAGACTGGAATTATGCAGGTAGTAAGCTGATAGTTAAATGATGGTTTCTCTTCATTTAAAGTATATTAAAATTAACTTTATATTGAAACTTATGTTCCACCTTTCCTTCTTATCACAGGACAATGAAAAGAGAACTCCACTGCATGCTGCTGCCTATCTTGGAGATGCAGAAATCATTGAATTGCTTATTTTATCTGGTATGGTAAACTCTGTATAGAGTACATCATGCATATTTTGTCATAATTAATATTTATCAAACCTGATTGACTATTTCTTCATATTTGTTTAACAACCTGAAACTTGATTGTTCATTCTAGAAGTACTGACCTCGTCTCAGGTCCCAGGTACGTTCTGGAGCTTAAGTACATTAGAAAACAAATCGCTGCCCACGTAGGGCATACACTCTAAAAAGATAAGCAGGCTGAAAATACAAGTAAATTTTACAGCAAGTTAGAAGGAGATAAGTGCTATGGAAAAATGAAAAAGTAGACCAGAATAAGTTGGCCCTCTGTATCTGTGGGTTCAACAGGTCAAAATATTGGGAAAAACATTCCAGAATGTTCCAAAAGGCAAAATCTGAATTTGCCATGAACTGGTGACTGTTCACATAACATTACATTGTACTTTACAGCTATTTACATAGCATTTACATTGAGTTAGGTATTATAAGTGGCCTAATGAACATTTGAAGTATACAAGAGAATGTGCATTGATTTTATGCAAATACTGTACCATTTTATATGAGACCTGAGCATCTGTGGATTTCGATGTCCACAGAGGGTGGTGGAACCAGTCCCCTCGGATGCTGAGGGACAGCTATAATGGGGTGGGATGAGCATTATATAGGGCTGGGTATTGCACAGAGTTGTCATACAAGGCCTCATTAACCACAGAGTTACTAGGAGACGATCACAGTTCTCCGAAGGGGAGGTGGTGGTGGCTTGGAGCCAGAACAGCAGTGGAGGGGCTAAGAAATGGTATGATTGTAGATATATTTTGAAAGTGATGCCAGCAAGACTTATGTCTTTAAAAGGCTTGTATCTAATTCTCTTTGAGGGCCTATAAAATATATTTTAGGAAATTATACTTTATTTTTAAATTTCTTCTCAACTGTTTAAGACTCCACAATATGAAGTAATGGTAAAACTGTCTCTTAGAGAATAGCTCCTATTGTGGTCAGACTGCCTGCAGTCCTAAAACAGGCAATCAGAGAGCTTAGAAACATTTCTCTTGTACCCAGATTATCATAGAGGATATTTATTAGGAAAAGATGCATGCGTCTGAGTTGTGCTTGTGTTACCAAATGGCACAGATAGATGCAGAGTGCAACTGGAGAAGCAGCATCATTCCTTTGATATTTGGGAGAAGGTGCACTGAGAAAAATTTTGAGTGAAAATCCTATTAAATAGCCTGAATAGAATTTTGCCATTGTGAATTAATAAAAATTTTTCAAATGTAATTTTTATAATAAATTGCATGACTAGAGTTATAGTTAAATATGGATCAAGCTAATAAGCTTATATTAGTTTCTTTATGAATAACTCCGTCACTGATGTGCTTCATGGAAAATGTCTGTTTTGTGGATGCTAGCTCACTTGTTTTCAGCTGAAATTGATCAGAGATAAGAACTGAGGAGGTTCAAGGGAAAAATAGTATTTCCTCTTCATTGAGGCATATTCAGCTTTAATGATAAGCCCAGGGCCAGGTGACTTCATAGCTGAATTCTACCGAACATTTAGAAAAGAGTTGATACCTATACTTCTCAAACTGTTCCAAAAAATTGAAGAGGAAAGAATGCTTCCAAACTCATTCTAAAAGGCCAGGATTACCCTGTTACCAAAACCAGAAAAAGACACTACCACAAAAGAAAATTATACTCCAGTTTTCCTGATGAACATAGATGCAAAAATATTTGCTAACAAAATATTAGCAAGCTGAATTCAGCAATACATTAAAAGGATCATAATGCCATGATCAAGTGTGATTTATTCCAAGGATGCTTCAACTTCCACAAATCAGTCAGTGTGATACACTGCTTAACAAAATGAAGCTAAAAATCATAAGATCATCTCAGTAGATGCAGAAAAAGCATTTGACAACATTCAACACCCATTTGTGGTTAAAAAAAAAACTTTCAAGAAAGTAAGTGTAGAGGAAACATACCTCAGCATAATAAAGGCCCCATGTGACAAGCCCACAGCTAACACCATACCCAAAGCCAAAAAGCTGAAAGCTTTTCCTCTAAAATCAGGAGCACAGTGAGAATGCCCATTCTTACCACTTTTTCAACATAGAAAAAAGTCCTGCCCATTGCAGTTAGGAAAGAAAAAGAAATTAAAAGTGTTCAGATTGTGGAAAGGAAGAAGTAAACTGTCTCTGTTGGCAGATGACATGATATACATAGAAAACTGCAGAGACTTTATCCAAAACCTTTTAGAAAATCAATTCAGTAAAGTTGCAGGCTCCAAAATCAACATACAAAAATTTGTTATGCTTGTAGATACTAATAGCAAACTATCAGAAAGAGAAATTTAAGCAGTTCCATTTATAACTACATCAGAAAGAGTGAAATACCTAGGAACAGTTTTAACCAAGAAAGTGAAAGATCTGTACAGTGGAAACTAATAGACATTGATGAAAGGTTGTAAAGAAGGCACAAAGAAATGGAAAGACACCCTGTGCTTGTGGATTGGAAGAATTAATATTGTTAAAATATCCATACTACCCAAAGCAATCCACAGATTCAGGGTGGTCCCCATCAAAATTCCAATGGCATTTTTCACAGAAGTAGGAAAAAAATCCTGAAATATGTATGGAACCCCAAAGGCCCAAATGGCCAAAGCAGTCTTGAGAAAGAACAGCAGAGCTGCAGGTGTCATGCTTCCTTTCAGTTATATTGCAGAGTTGTAGTAGTTGAAACAGTAAAGTATTGGCATAAAAACAGACATGTAGATCCATAGGACAAAAAGCCCAGAAACAAACTCGTTCATTTTATGGTCAGTTAATTTACAACAAAGGAGCCAAGAATATACAATAGGGAAAGGACTGTCTCTTCAATAAGTGGTGCTAGGAAAACTGTACCCCTGTCTTACCCACTACACAAGCATCAACTCAAAATGGGTTAAAGACTTGAACATAAGACCAGAAATCATAAAACTCATAAAAGGAAAAAACAAGGGGTAAGCTCTTGTGCATTAGTCTTGGCGATGATATTTTAGATTTGACACCAGAAGCAAAGGAAACAAAGGCAGTTATAACCAAGTGGGACTACATCAAACCGAAAGCTTCTGCATGGCAAAGGAAACCAACAAAATGAAAGGGCAGCCTACAGAATAGGAGAAAACAACTTGCAAATTTATTTATTTGCAACATATTTGCAAAGTTGATATCCACAATATATAAAGAATTCATACAGCTCAATAGCAAAAAAAAAACCAGACAAACCAATCTGATTAAAGGTCAGGCAGAAGGACTCCATTTTTCCAAAGAAGACATAGTTATGGCCAAAAGGTACATGATAAGGTGCTTAGCATTACTGATCATCAGGGAAGTGCAGAGCAAAACCACGAGGAAATATCACCTTACGCTTGTTAGAATGGCTGTTATAAAATAGACTGGCAATAGGAAGTATTGGCAAAGATGTGGAGAAAAGGGAATTCCTTGTGCTGGGAATATAAATTGGTACAGCCATCACGGAAAAAAGTATGGAGGTTCCTCAAAAAATAGAAAATGAAACAGCCGTATGAGCCAGTGCTTCCACTTCTGTGTGTACCTCCGGAGGAAGCAAAATGACCATCTCAAAAAGATAACATGCACTCCCACATTCATCATTCACAATAGCCAAGACATGGAAACAACCTAAGTGTCAAGGGATGAATAAAGATGATGTGGTAAATGCATACAGTGGAGTATCATTTGGCCATTAAAAAAAGAAGCATATCCTGCCATTGGCAACAACATGGATGGACCTTGAGGGCATTATGCTAAATGAAATAAGTCAGACAGAGGCAAATAATTCATGGTCTCACTTATATGTGGAATCTACGAAAACTAAATTCATAGAATAGATTGGTGGTTGCCAGAGGTGCCGGTAAGGTAGTGGGGAACTGAATAAAAGCGGTCAGAAGGTACAAACTTCTAGCTGTGAGATAGTTCTGAGGGTGTAATGTACAGCATGGTGAGTATAGTTAATACTGTACTGTGTATTTGAAAGTTACTAAGAGAGTAGATCTTAAAAGTTCTCATCACAAGAAAAAAAATTAACTGTGAGATGATGGATGTTAACTAAACTTATTGTGGTAATTATTTCTGTGTATATATATATGTATTTATCAAATCATTATGTTGTACACCTTAAACTAATATAATGTTATACATCAAGTATATTAATAAAACTGGGGGAAAAAATAAACATCACCCAGAATGGTAGTCTTCAAATGGTATATGCAGACTCTTAAGGGTACATAGTGGTGTTTCATGGGTTCTGCTTAAATTTGGTTTGAGGGCCATGGTTGTTGAGGTCCAATTATACACTGATTTACATAACTCCTTATTCCAAACAGCCATATAGTTGTATTGAGTGGGTTTATAACTTAGTAAGTTATAAACTAGAATTGAAACTAGGTGTTTGACCTGATCAATTCCCTAGATAAAGAAGAGAATTAAGTACATGAAGGGAAAAGTAGGCAACAAAATGAGGCTGATCTGCTCATAGTTAATAATGAAAACTGTTAGTGTAAAGTTTAGGGTAGGCTCCTGTTCCCCTTCATGTTGATTACTGGTGACGTGTTACAGTAGTAATTGGGTTAACCATACCTAGTGTGATCGTAAGAAAATCAAGCAGTGTGAAATAATCCCCGTTTAGCCCTTGCTTTACATAAAAGTCATGGTATGCTTCAATAAGAACACACAATAAAGGAAATTACTGTAATTTTGTACTGTAAAAACTACTTGCGTATCCATGGCAAGGTTATTTGTTTGTAAAATCTCTCTCTAAAATGAAGTGAAGAATATAAAAAAAGTCGATAGTTCCTTAGAGCCATGTACTCCCTTGTTCATGCTTCAGGTTCTGATTGTTTTCTGATTTACTATTATGAGAAATTAGGAAGTAATATTCTCTAATTCCACTTTTGTGTTTTCATTGTCAAGAGTGATGACTTTAATTATGGCTTCTTGTAATCGTTATTCCCACTGTTCT